GGAGGCAACAGCCCAGCAGAAGCTGGAGCCCAACGCCGCGACCTGGACAGCGGAGCGGAACGACCCCGGAACTGGACCCGGGCGAGGTCAAGGCGCAGCTCCTACGTACTTCCTGTCGCGACGCCCGAGGTTTCCGAGAGGAGGTTCGTGGGAACACTAGCGATTTCTTCCGGTACCGAGCTTCCAAAGGCCTAGAGGTTCTTCGCGAAGAGACAGCACTTAGGCAAGACTGCTGAACGGAGATCCCCGTGCAGGGTGGCCCGGAAGAGAAAAGCCGGAGCCTACGGGCCGCCGCGAGGGCCACGCCGCGTTGCCATTCGTGCGCACTCACCTGAAAACGCTTCTCGCGTCACCGTAGATCTAGCAAGTGGCGACTCAGATGCTCTCTCAAGGCTGGCCTGTGCCAGGTGGAGGACGGAGAACTATGGAGATAGAGGACGGACACACGGGAATATAAGCAACTGAGCCAAAGGAGTTTGGGACCGAGGAAGCCTCCTGGAGTGGGAATAGGGCGCCAGGGTCCGGGCCTGCACAGCTCCACGCTCTGGTCGCCGGAGCATCGTTGCAACCCCTTCCTGATGGCGACCCTGAGTTTTGCAGAGGTAGAAACGTGTGTTTTATCCCCTTGGGTCCCCTGACAGACTTGGCAAAGTTTGTTGCAGTTTGTTTAGGGCACCGAAGTGTTTGGTAGCGAACGCGGGATGTGCTGTAAGATTGGAAAAGGCTATAATGTAAGCTCAGGGATCTAACCCATGGTCTTTACGCCATCGTCGCGGAGTTTCCGGTCCCCGCGACCAGAAACTGCTATTCGAGCCAGACTTTTGGAAGTAAGTGTGCATTAAGTTAACTCCCAAAACTACGGCGTTTAAGGCGAGGCGCACATCTGCATCACAGCACTAGTGATGCTGAGGCAGGAGGATCCTGAGTTCGAGACCACTGTAGACTACATAGTAATGCATCTCGAAAAATGCATTGTTTGGTTTAAGTTTTTAAGATTATGTTCTTTAAACTTAAATTTTGTTTTTATGTCTATGGGTGTTTTGCCCCCGTTTATATCTGTACACCGCATGCATGCAGTGCTTGAGGAGGCCAGGAGAGGGCATTATATATCCTGCAACTGGCATTAACAGTTTTGAATTGCCTTATGGGTGCTAGGGAATCAAACCTGGGTCTTCTGGAAGGGCAACCAATGCTCATAATAAAATATTCGGTTCTCCAGCCTCCTTTATGGTTTTATCTTGTGTATCTGTATGTTTAAGATGGTACCCACTTTCAATCAACTCTTGTTTGGCCTGCCCTATATAGCTATTTCCTCAGTGGGGAACATCTGCTCTTAGAGGGAAAGGAAGGCTCAGGAAACTCACAAGGAGGCCTCCCAGATCATATAAGCAGTACACTGTTGCTGACCAGAGGAGGCTTTCTGGAACCTTGCAGGCTGTGTCAGGAACTCCTGTGTGAGGCAGCCTTCAACAGTGTTTTCCCATGCTAGGGTGGACTTTTCAGTGTTGGTGCCGCCTCAGTCACCCATACACCTATAAGTAGCATATCACACACACACTAGAGGGTAACCCCAGGGAATGCTTCGGTTTGCTGAAGTGAAGTGGACTTGAATAAAATTGAAACAGAATAGGAAGGGACATCAAAGGATGTGGGAAAGGAAAGAAACCCCTCACCCTGGGATCTAGCTGACCTTTCCTGTTGACTGAGAGTCAAGAAACTTCAGCATGATTGATAAAGCCAACATTGCCTACAGAGATAGTGTGCTTTCCTGAAGACAACTCAAACAGGATGTTAAAAACAGGAAATAAACTGTGCACACTCATGGCTGGGATGTTTGTGACTCCGACCTTGAGTCCCAGCCTAGCTGAATAACAAAAGGGCGCGCCCACACACACACACACACACACACACACACACACACACACACACAATATAAATTAACCTTGGAGCTGGCTGGAGAGGTGCCTCAGTAGTTAATAGCACTTGCTGCATTGGTTTGGTCATATGACAGTTCATGAACCATCTGTACCAGGTACTTGGCACCTTCTTCTGACCTTTGAGGACACGTGGTGCACATACTTATATGCATGCAAAACACAAAATAAAATTAAATGCTTAAAAAGTTACCAGCTCATATATTTTACTTTTTTTTTTTTTTTTTTTTTTTTTTTTTTTTTTGAGGCAGGATCTCATGTAGCCCAGGCTAACATCAAACTTACAATGAAGCCTTGGGTTCCATTCCCAGTACTGTATAAACCTGGGTATGGTGGTAGTCATGAAGTCTCGTGCCTGTAATTCCAACAGGTGGCAGGAACCGAAGTTCAAGGTCACCTCAGCCCTTTACTAAATTTTAAGATTTGCTTAATTTTTTTTTTTTTTTCCCGAGACAGGGTTCCTCTGTGTAGCTCTGGAGCCTATACTGGCACTCATTCTGGAGACCAGGCTGATCTTGAAATCTGCCTGCCTCTGCCTCCCAAGTGCTGGGATTAAAGGCGTGAGCCACCAACGCCCGGCCAGATTTGCTTAATCTTTAAACCTTGTAAACTACATCTTTTGAGGAATGTAACTTAAAAGGCTGGAGGTTCATATGTATCACCATTGTGAAGACACCTAAACATGATTTTTCTGGAAAAGCCCATACACATGTCTTGATATTGTGTATTATCCTTTTCCTCCGAGACTGTCTCAGTACTTAATAAACTCACTAACTTTACTCCTGTTTGGCTCATCCTGTAATTCTTTCCTACAGTCAAGTCTAGGATATTTGCATTGAAAGCCCTGAGCAGAACTCCTGGGGCTGCTGGTGACTGTTGGGCTGTATCTCCCCACAGCCACTGACAGAATCATTTCTTTGGTCTGGGTTTGGTGTGCTATCTAGGGTGAACAGATGCTTGTTCGTCTACCCTGGAAAAGTCATGCAACAGCCTGTTCTCCTAGTAGTTTTGGTTCCATGACCAGTAACTGGTGGCCAAGGTTTTTTTGTAAATAGTGAAAGGAAGGAAGGTTTTGTTCCTCTAACACAGGAATGGCCACTGTTGGTGGAGTGTATTTTCAAAGAGCAATGACAGAAGCATCTTTACCTAAAAAGGCAATATCAGGTTCTATACAAAGTGAAATGAGCACATGCCAGCGTGCAGTAGCTAGGACATGAATTTAGAAGACAGACAGACACATGTAGGTTGTCAGGAATGCTGAGATGGTCTACCTAATAAATACAAATGACTTTCAGGGGAGGGAGAGGTCAGCTAAAGTTGTACATGACAGATTCGTCTTTATGTGTGATATCTGTGCATAAGAATCATTGGCAGCCAATGATGTGGCTCCCAAATATAATCCCAGCACTTAGGAGTTTAAGGCAGGAAGATCACTATGAATTTGGGTTGAGCCTATGATACAGAATGAAACCTTATCTCAAAAAAGCACAAAATATGTAACAAATAATGATAAGGACTGCACTGTCTTGAGTCACAGAGAACTTAAAGACTGGACTTCACAGAACCAGGGACCCAGAGAGGTATGCCAAACAGGCCTACTGTTTTCCTAAAATACTTCAAAGAACTCAGAACTTGTCACCCCAAAATACACCTCTAACCTCAAGTAAGCTGCAAGTCACTGAAAAGCTTTCTCTGCCTCCCCAGCTCCCTGCCTAATAACAGTGAAGTCATGGTTGGAAACTTCAGACCCCTTCACCCACGAGAGTGCAAAGGAGCACCCTGTGAATTTCTGAGAATGTAATTGACCTGCCCAGTCTGCTGCCATGAACCCTAAAACCGCTTTGTCCTGCCCTTCAGCAGATGTATTCTTGTTTGACTGTGTTAGAGAGGCCAGATTTAAAGCTTTTCCTGGGTTTCCTCCATGCATCCAGTGAGGTACATGGAGATAAATGTCTGCCTGTTTTTCTCCTGGTAGTCTGTCTTTGTTCTAGGACTCCAGCCCAGAACTTAGGAGGAAGAAGGAAAGGGCGTTCTTCCTCTCCTATGTGCCCAACCTTTGGACCCAATCCCAAGTCTTTTGCAAGAAGAGTGAAGGGACCCTCCTCTTGACCCTGTGTGCCATTCTCTGTGAAAGCCAGGAACCTCTGGAGTAAATAAGCATGATGCACTCTTAGAAATGCCAGCAGGAAAGAGATACAGTTTCTGGGGCAGGTTCTCAGCATCTAGCCTTGGTCAGAAAATGTTCTCTGAATCTGAGCTAAGCTTTTTGTCATCCATCCATCCATCCATCCATCCATCCATTCATTTTGTTTTTTGTTGAGACAAGGTTTCTCTGGGTAGCCCTGGTTGTCCTGGGCCTCACTCTGTAGCTCAAGATGACCTTGAACTCTGCCTCTTGAGTGCTGGGATTAAAGGCATGCTCCACCACCACCCATCTGTTTTTCTTGTATTGAGACAGTATCTCACTATGTAGCCCTGGCTGGACTGAACTTGCTATATAAACCAAATGACTGGAGTCTAGTCCCTGGGACCCACGTGTGAAGGAGAAAACCAACTCCAACAAGTTGTTCTCTGACTTCTACCTGAGCACTATGGCATAAGCACGTGCGTGGACACACACACAGACACACACACACACCCCAAGCTACTTTGTTAACTTGTTCCATCCTAATGAATGAATAAAACAGGGTGTTTTGTTTTTGTTTGGTTGGTTTTTTTTCTTTTTTCTTTTTTTTTTTTTTTTTTTTTTTTTTTTTTTTTTTTTTGTTTTTTTTTGCCTTTTGAGACAGGGTTTTCTATGTAGTCCAAGCTGGTCTCATTCTCTCCACCTGTCTTACAGGTATACACCACATCCAGCCCTGCTGATTTCTAAATTGTGTGTGAATGTGTGTGTGTGTGTGTCTGTGTGTCTGTGTGTCTGTGTGTCTGTGTGTGTGCCTGTGTGTGCATGCTAGAGGAACAAACTTGTGTCATTCCTCAGGAGACATCCCCCTTGTTTTTGGAGGCTGTCTTACCCTGGTCTGGAGCTCAATGGTTTGGCTAGAGTAGCTGCCCAGTGAAGCTCATGCACTCGCTTCTCTTTGCCCCCCAGTACTGGGATTACAGGCATGCCACCACACCTGGCCTTTTTAAAAAACATAGTTTCCAGGGATGAAACTTACTCATCTTTGTACAGCAAGCACTTTACCGCCTGAGCTGTCCCCTGAGCCCAACTCTCACTATCTCACTGAGTATTTCAGTCTTATTCTTAGCAGCATTGATATTTAATCTGCCAGTCATTTCCTTTCTCTTAGCCAAGGTATTTTAAAAGGGCCCAACAAAGCTCCACAGCAAAAGATTAGACTTGATTTCTAAGGTTTCTTCCTGTTTTGTGACCATGATTCATCAGTTTCATTGATTTTTCTAAGGGCCTTGGGACTGAGGACCTCTTTAAAAAATTTTTCAGTTATGTGTATGTGTCTGTGTGTTCATATGTACACAAGTGCAGTGCCCACAGGGGCCAGAAGAAGGTGTTGGACCCCCTGAAGCTGGACTTACAGGCAGCTGTCACCTACCTGATGTAAACGCTGGGAACCAAATTTGGGTCTTCTGCAAGAGCAACAAGTAAGTGCTCTTAACTACCGTCCAACCCAGGAACCCAT